GGCCTGGGAATGAGCAGAGGCCTGAGGCCTGAACAGTCCTGGGGGCACACAGAGATTATTTAACACTTCCAAAGCACTCCAGGAAGCTTTTACCCAAAGGGGTTGTGGTTCCCTTATCCCTGGCAGTGCCCAAGGCCAGGCTGGACAGGGTTTGGAGCAGCCTGGCACAGTGGGAGATGTCCCTGCCATGGCAGGGGTGGCACTGGGTGGGATTTGAGGCTCTTTCCAACCCAAACCAACCATGGATTCTGACTAAATCACATAAAAATAACTTAGATGCAACTTGGTATTTCTGATCACTGATTTCTCAGTCTGGAAAAGGATGTTGGTCTGTCAGTTGTGTAAATCCCAGAATCATCAGGGTGGGAAGAGCCCTTTGGGATCACCCAGTGCCACCCCAGCCCCACCAGCATCACCCAAACCCTGTCCCCAAGGCCACATCCAGCATCCTCTGGGACAATTCCAGTGACTCCAAAGCTCCCTGGGCAGCTCATCCCAAGGCCTGACCACTCTGCCAGGGAAATTTTCTTTCCCAATCTCCAACCTGAGCCTCCCCTGGTGCCATTTGAGGCTGTTTTCCTCTCATTTTTTCCCTGCCCCTCCTGTCAGGAGCTGTGCAGAGCCACAAGGTCCCCCCTGAGCCTCCTTTTCTCCAGGCTGAGCCCATTCCCAGCTCCCTCAGCCACCCTTGGAATGCCAGAACCACAGAAAGGTTTGGGATGGGAGGAACCTTGAAGCCCATCTCACTCCAACCTCCAGAAAAGCTGCTGCTCATGGTGCCCTCAGCACTCCCAACAACAACCCGCAGAGTTATGAAGGGAATTTGTAATGCCAGCTTTTCTTAAGCTGCATTAGGGAACATGGAATTACCATATTCCAGCTGAAAAAAAAAAAAAAAAAATACGAAAAGGGGGCTGTGAGAGGGCAGAACCTCACAGAACCCCAAAATCCCTGGGGCTGGAAAAGTCCTCCCAGCCCAGGGAGTCCCAGCTGGGCCCCATGCCCACCTTGTCCCCAGCTCAAAGCTTTCATAGCCCCTCAATTAAAGAAGCAAAACTCTTGGTTACAAATTAAAATATCCAAAGGAATGGTGGAGGGAAGCCACTTACCAAAAAAAAAAAATTTTAAGGTTAAGATTTAGCTTTTTTTCAAGTAGCAGTGACGTGGCACCTGAGACAAGGTCCTGCAGGGGGTCCAAGGAGTGGAGCTCAGGAAGGAGAAAAGGAGGTTTTAAAATCATGGGAATTTAGGGTTAAAAGGAAAATTAAGCTTAGTAGGCCCTGAAAAAATAAATACTCCAGGTACATGAAGGCCTCGTACCTTGCTAGAACTGCACCTGTACATGATAGTACATGATAAATGATATAATTGTTAGATGTGATGATTCTTTGGTAATTAAATATAATTACTGTATAATCGTAAGAATAATAATGAGAAACTGTGGCCAGGGGCCTCAGAAAGATCACGAGAATCTCATGGTTGAATAAAGTCAATGTATACAATAGAACAATATAAGTTTAATAATTAATATGTAAGTTATATAAGGATAGAATATAAAATAAGTTCAGCTCAAAAGCTGTGTCAGAGTCAGATTTGGGTCTGTGCCCCTGATTTCCAGAGCTCTCAATAAAAGCACCTGCAGAGAATCATATTCTGTGATTATTTGTGTTCCTGAAGGCTGACAGGGGGAGTGAGGAGAAAGCAGCAGAACCCGTCCTGTGGAGCTGGGGGAACAAATGGGAATTTATTCTCATTTTGTTCCCATTCCCATTCCAGCTGGGCACACTGCCTCTGCAGGCAGGGATGGAATTGTTCCCATTGCTGCACTCCCAGCAAAGCTTTTCCTCTCTCGTTTTTCAGCCCTTTCTGTAACTCTGCACAAGTTACAAGAAGTGTAAAGTCACTCCAGGATACCTCAGGGAAATTCTGCTGCAGACAAAGTTTCTGCACAGGGAAATAAATCCTTCATTTCCCTTGCTGAGATCTGCAGCTCTGTCCTGCAGGGCAGCGTGTGGGGCTCTGCCCTCAGTGGGATGGTACAAACATTAAATACCACAAACTACCTGTGCTGGATTTACAATAACGTGCCAATATCTGTCACCTACGTTGGACAGTGTGTCCCCAGCCTGAACCAACAGAAAAATGCCAACACCACAGTGAAACATGGAGGGCATGAAGAAGGAGAAAAAAGGACAAGACACACCCAATTCCTCCATCTTGTCCCCTTTGGACCCCTCATCTAGAATCCTAAAATTTTACTTTTGCACCCGTGCCACACTTAATTATTACTGATATCAAACACTCAGAGCTGGTAATTGATCCTGTAAGATTGAAAACTCTTTTCCATGGACAGAGATCACAGCCAGTGTCTCTGGGGGCTCTGTCCAGGGGGTTCCTGACCCCTGCCAGGGTCCCAGACCTGCCAGGGCAGCCAGAGGGAAGCCCTGGATTCCCACAGCTAAGGAGGAAAATTCAACATTTTCAGCAGCAACACCTCCTCAGAGGTGACAATCCCAATATTTACACCCAGCACCAGGGGCAGCCCAGACTCCTCTGAAAGGGAGGAGCTCCTGCTGCCCACAGATTTCTTACCTACAGCACCCAAAATTCAGCTGCTGCTTCATCATCTGAGTTCTATTTAAGGCCCAGATTCCTCACATCAGAGAAAATAGGAATTTTTTTGTTTGTTTTTTTTTTGTAGGAAGCCACCATTCCCCTTCCAGCTGGGCACACTGCCTCTGGAGTTCCCATTTCTGCACTCCCAGCAGAGCTTTTCCTTTCTCATTTTTTAGCCCTTTTGGTAACCCTGAATAAAGTCACTCAAGGATATCTCAGGGAAATTCTGCTGCAGGCAGGAAACCTCTGTCTCTGATGGGAATTAAATCATCTTCTGAATGGAGATCAATGATTTAGAGACCAGGAATGTCACCAAACTGGATAAATCCCCCTGCTTTTCCTTGGATAAAATCCATTACCTTGTGCTCATGGTCAGCTTTGACTAAAATCCATTTAACCCTGAAACTGAGGGAGAAATGTTTTGGGAGATGAGCAAGGCCTTGTGCTCCAGCTGGGTTGTTTGGCCAAGTGTTTGTGGGACAGAGAAATCCTTAGGAATCTTTGGAATTCTGAAATCTGCAGCTGTGATTCTGCTGAGTTTTCCATCTATACATAATTAGATAGCAATTTCAATTTCGAAGTAAGCTCTTAAGTCTTAAATAAATGTTCTATTGCTTAAAATCAATGGAGTGAATTTTAGTGAGAGTTCAAGTATATTCAAATGGTTAAAAATATATATATATATATATTCTGACATTTGCAGAAGTTTTCTGATCAATAAAGAGCTTTTGCTGCAGAAGGGGGAAAAGCCCTTGAGGAGCAGAGAGCACCAGGGACACTGAATTCCCAAGGAAAGGATATCTGGGTGACTTTTGGGAATATTTGCCTTTCAAACACCTGAGATAACGGGTGTTGTTATCTAAAGGAAATAAATGCTATTGTTCCAGGGGCTAATGGAAATCAGGGAGCACCCAGTGAAAGGCTCCAGGGAATTCTGGTGTTTTGTTCTTCCTGGGGGTTTATCCTGAGGCTGATGCTCCTTCGAACATTATCACCGACAGAGAGTTTTAATGTTGGCCTGGGATGATCTTCCCTAGCAGGGAACTGCCAGGATTCCTCCAGCACTGTTCCTGTCTTGTTTTCTTGTGCATTTTCTCCCTCTTTGGGATTTATTTTTACATTTCTCTGTATTTCTGTTGTGCTATCAAACCGTGGCATGGTCATCTTGGTGCCTGGGGAGACTCTGAGCTCTCCAGTTTGGTTTTGGTTTTTTTTTGGTTTTTTTTTCCCCTTTTCCTGGAGAAACTCATGCCAACCTCTGACTAAAAATTAATCTAATCCCAGCTACAAAAATGCAGCTCCAGGTGAGGTAAAATACTCAAGCTTTGTAATACAGAAATAATTAGAAAAGCAGCTGGATTGTTTTCTAGGCATTCTTAAGTTAAGCCCATCACAAAAATGCTCCTCCTTTCTCCTTGTGCCTTTATTAATTCACAAATATTTTCAAAGCCCATGTTTAATCCTAATATTTCGGGGCAACAGAGTCACAACAAATGCTCTTATTCTCTGGGCTGCTCTCTCATTTTGGCCATGTTTTCCTCCCATAAAGTGGAAAGTATCACATTTTAATTTTAAATTTTAATTTTAATTTTAATTTTAATTTTAATTTTAATTTTAATTTTAATTTTAATTTTAATTTTAATTTTAATTTTCGTTTTAATTTTAATTTTAATTTTAATGATTTTAATTTTAATTTCAATGTGAATTCTGGCTGGCAGAAGCAGCCTCAGCCAGCTCAGGAGGTACAGGATGGGATGGTTTGTGGAGGAGAATGTCCCAAATGCCTTCTGCTTCCCCAGGTTTATTTCCTTAGCTTTATGTTTATCCCACCCTGCTCCACATTTTAGTCCAGAGGGGTCAGAGAAGAGGGAAGAAATCACCTCACACAGCGAAAATCCCCATTTATAAAGACTCTATGGATGGCTGCTGTTCCCATGCCAATCCCAGGGATTTTGGTGCGATCCCAGGCACAGAATATTAACCTCTAAAGCTCTACTCAATAAAATACCAGAAATTAGTTTTAGTTTCTCCCCCACCACCCCCTTTTTCCCCCTCCCATTTCCCCGTAACCCAAATCTTCCCTTCAAACCAACCGGACAATTCCAAGGCTGCTCTTTACTGACTGTCAATTCAGCCTTGCCAAAAATTGGGACAGTTCTCCAAACATCACCCATAATTCGCGTTAGAAAACCTCAGCATCGCATTGAAATCCCATTTCCCGTGTTCCTCCCCTTGTGGTGAGAACCCCTCTCCTGATTTTTGGAGATCTGAAAATCCACGGAGAACAGCGATGAGGAGGCAGAGGCAGATCTGTGTTGGGTGTTAATAACCAAACCACGTTAAATCCCTCACCACAGCCATCCCCCGCAGCCCCCAGCCCCTACCTTGACGAAGAGGGAGATGTCGTGGTCCTCCTCCTCCTCCTCCTCCTCCTCTTCCTCCTCCGGGGCTCCCGGTGAGCCCGTCCCGTCCTCCCGGTGCCGCTCCCGGTGCCGCTCCCGGTGCCGCTCCCCGTTCAGGCTCCGCTCCCGGCCGCTCCCGGGGCTCGGGGTCCCGCTGGCCGCGGCTCCCGGGGCTCCTGTCCCCGCCAGGGCTGGCGGTGCCCGCTCCGCCTGCAGAGCATCCTCGGGGACTGTCCCCAAAACCTCCTCGGGGACTGTCCCTAAAACCTCCTCGGGGACTGTCCCTGCCGGGGCTGCGTCCTGCGCCTCATCCTTGGGGATTGTCCCTAAAACTTCCTTGGGGACTGTCACACCAGCCGGGGCTGCCTCCCGCACCGCATCCTCGGGGTTTGTCCCTAAAACTTCCTTGGGGACTGTCCCTAAAACTTCCTTGGGGATTGTCCCTAAAACCTCCTCGGGCACTGTCCCTGCTGGAGCTGTCTCCCGCACCGAATCCTTAGGGATTGTCCCTAAATCTTCCTTGGGGACTGTCCCTAAAACCCCCTCGGGGACTGTCCCTAAAACCTCCTCGGGGATTGTCCCTGCCGGGGCTGCGTCCTGCACCGCATCCTTGGGGATTGTCCCTAAAACCTCCTCGGGGACTGTCCCTAAAACCTGCCCGGGGACTGTCCCTAAAACCTCCTCGGGGACTGTCGCATCAGCCGGGACCTCCCCCTGCACCGCATCCTTGGGGACTGTCCCCAAAACCTCCTCGGGAACTGTCACATCAGCCGGGACCACCTCCTGCACCGCATTCTCGGGGACTGTCACATCATGCGGGGCTGCCTCCCGCACCGCATCCTTAGGGATTGTCCCTAAAACTTCCTCGGGGACCGTCCCTGCCGGGGCTGCGTCCTGCGCCTCATCCTTGGGGATTGTCCCCAAAACCTCCTCGGGGACTGTCCCTAAAACCTCCTTGGGGATTGTCACATCAGCCGGGACCGCCTCCTGCACCGCATTCTTAGGGATTGTCCCTAAAACTTCCTCAGGGACTGTCACATCAGCCTGGGCTGCCTCCCGCACCGCATCCTTAGGGATTGTCCCTAAAACCTCCCCGGGCACTGTCACATCAGCCGGGACCGCCTCTCGCACCGGATCCTTGGGGACTGTCCCCAAAACCTCCTCGGGGACTCTCACATCAGCCGGGGCTGCCTCCTGCACAGCACCCTCGGGGTTTGTCCCCAACGCCTCCTGGGGGACTGTCCCAGCCGGGGCTGCCTCCTGCACCGCATTTTCGGGGACTGTCCCAGCCGGGGCTGCCTCCCGCTCTTCATCCTCGGGGACTGTCCCCTCTGGGGTTGTCACTGCGGCCTCTCCGTGCTCTGTCCCCGCCGGGGCTGCCTCCTGCACCGCATCTTCAGGGACTGTCCCCACCGGGGCTTCCTCGGGACCTGTCCCGGACGGGGCTGTCGCGACAGCGTCTTCGGGCTCTGCTCCCTCTGGGACCGCCTGTCCTTGATCCTCTCCGGGCTCTGTCCTCGATGGCGCTGTCCCCTCCGCTTCCCGGGGCTCTGTCCCCTCCGCTTCCCGGGGCTGTGTCCCCTCTGCTTCCCGGGGATCTGTCCCCTCTGCTTCCCCGAGCTCTGTCCCCTCCGCTTCCCGGGGCTCTGTCCCCTCTGCTTCCCGGGGCTTTGTCCCCTCCGCTTCCCGGGGCTTTGTCCCCTCCGCTTCCCGGGGTTTTGTCCCCTCTGCTTCCCGGGGCTCTGTCCCCTCTGCTTCCCGGGGCTGTGTCCCCTCCGCTTCCCGGGGCTCTGTCCCCTCTGCTTCCCGGGGCTGTGTCCCCTCCGCTTCCCGGGGTTCTGTCCCCTCTGCTTCCCGGGGCTCTGTCCCCTCTGCTTCCCGGGGCTGTGTCCCCTCCGCTTCCCGGGGCTCTGTCCCCTCTGCTTCCCGGGGCTTTGTCCCCTCCGCTTCCCGGGGCTCTGTCCCCTCTGCTTCCCGGGGCTCTGTCCCCTCTGCTTCCCGGGGCTCTGTCCCCTCTTCTTCCCGGGGTTCTGTCCCCTCTGCTTCCCGGGGCTTTGTCCCCTCCGCTTCCCGGGCTTTTGTCCCCTCCGCTTCCCGGGGCTTTGTCCCCTCTGCTTCCCGGGGCTTTGTCCCCTCTGCTTCCCGGGGCTCTGTCCCCTCTGCTTCCCGGGGCTCTGTCCCCTCTTCTTCCCGGGGCTCTGTCCCCTCTTCTTCCCGGGGCTCTGTCCCCTCTGCTTCCCGGGGCTGTGTCCCCTCTGCTTCCCGGGGCTGTGTCCCCTCCGCTTCCCGGGGCTGTGTCCCCTCTGCTTCCCGGGGGTTTGTCCCCTCCGCTTCCCGGGGCTGTGTCCCCTCTGCTTCCCGGGGCTCTGTCCCCGCCGGGGTATCCTCCCTCTCCGCCTCTCTCACTTGGGGCTCCGTCCCCGCCGGTGCCACCGCTTGTCCCTCGGGCTCCATCCCCACCGGTGCTGCTTTTTGGGGCTCCGTCCCCGCCGCCGCCTCGTCCTCTCCTCCGTCCCTCGGGACATCGCCGCGCTCCGGGGCCCGCCCGGGGCTCTCCGCCATGCCGGGACCGCCGGGCCGGAGCAGCGGAGCGGCCGCGGAGCAGCGCCGGGCACGGCCGGGGGATGGGGCGGTGTCTGCGCGGGGCGCGGGGCGGCGGGGACGGGAATGAGCTCCTCCTCTGTGCCTGCCCCGATCCGGGCACAGCTCCTGCCTGGGCACAGCCCCTGTCCTGCCCCACTGCTCCGGGTACAGCCCCTGTCCTGTCCCACTGCTCCGGGCACAGCCTCTGTCCCGATCAGGGCACAGCTCCTGCCCGGGTACAGCCCCTGCTCCGCTCCGGGCACAGCCCCTGCCTGGGCACAGCCCCTGCCCTGATCCACCTCTCCGGGCACAGCCCCTGCCTGGGCACAGCCCCTGTCCAGGCACAGCCCCTGTCCTGTCCCACTGCTCCGGGCACAGCCCCTGCCTGGGCACAGCCCCTGTCCTGTCCCACCGCTCCGGGCACAGCCCCTGCCTGGGCACAGCCCCTGTCCAGGCACAGCCCCTGTCCTGTCCCACTGCTCCGGGCACAGCCCCTGCCCGGGCACAGCCCCTGCCCCGCTCCGGGCACAGCCCCTGCCCGGGCACAGCCCCTTCCCAGTCTCACATTGGAGCGGGACCACAGCCACCCCCTCCCCGCAGGCACCGGAGCCTTTGCAGAGTGACCAAAACCCTCCTCTGTGTCTGTGTGTGTGTGTGTGTGTGTGTGTCTGTGTGTGTGTGTGTCTGTGTTTCTGTGTGTCTGTGTGTCTGTGTGTCTGTGTGTCTGTGTTTGTGTTTTTATGTGTCTGTGTGGCCCGCACCTGACCGGGGCTCCCCTCGCACCCCAAGGCCCCAAACCCCGTTCGTGCCCTGCTTTGCCCCTCGGCTGCCACTCCCAGCCCGGTGTGGTGTCCTTGGCACTAGTGTCCCCAGCCTGGCATTGCTGTCCCCAGCCTGGCACTGCTGTCCCCAACCCAGCACTGCTGTCCCCAGCCTGGCACTGCTGTCCCCAACCTGGCACACATCTGCGGGGTTAAGGAAAATAATCCTAATTTTCTAGGTGCAGACAGAACCGTGGAGGCAGAGTTGGCTGACAGGAGTGAGGTATCATAATTTAAAACCCCCAACAGTTAAACAGTTTTATATTTGTGTGTAATTTGTTAATTATTTTTAAACACTTTTTGTATTTGAGAGGGAACGGGGCAGGGATAGAACACACAGGGGTTTGGAAAGGGTGTGAAGGGGGAGCCGGGAAATCCTACAGAATAAATCATTGCAGCAGGTCAAACACTCAGCCCCGATAAAGCACGAACAGCCAAATAAATGAACAATCCTGCAGCTCTTTGAGGCTCGCCCGGAGGTGCATCGCAAGTTTTTACACATCTCCTTTGGGTGATTGAATATTTGGGGCTCTTACACAGGTTTTGCTCAGGTTCCCAGTCTGACCCGGGATCAGTGTCCTGCCGATCTGCTGGAAGCCCAGGAGAGCTGCCTGTTCCCTGCACAGATTATCCATCAACACCACCGTCCTATTTGCCTTCATTTACCCGTTCCCTGCTTTCAATGCTCACAAGGTGAGGATTTCAAGGCCAACAAAACCCAAACCCTTTCAGTGATAACCGGACCAAAAGCAAACAAAAATCCCTTTCAGTGCTAAGCAGTGCCTGTGGTGAACATCGGCGCAGGGTTTCAGCATGACAAAAGATTAGCTCGTTAAATATTGACGGGAGCTAAGGACTCACAGCTCCCACAGTTAATTCTCTTTGTAGGACACAAAATTCGGGAGGAGTTCTGGATGCCATCACAGCAGGAATCATTTGTTATGGATCTCTCGGTGCTCTCCCTGGAGCCCAGGAACTGAGATTCTTCTCTTCTCTTCTCTTCTCTTCTCTTCTCTTCTCTTCTCTTCTCTTCTCTTCTCTTCTCTTCTCTTCTCTTCTCTTCTCTTCTCTTCTCTTCTCTTCTCTTCTCTTCTCTTCTCTTCTCTTCCCTTCCCTTCCTTCCCTTCCCTTCCCTTCCCTTCCCTCCTTCCCTTCCCTTCCCTTCCCTTCCCTTCCCTTCCCTTCCCTTCCCTTCCCTTCCCTTCCCTTCCCTTCCCTTCCTTCCCTTCCCTTCCCTTCCCTTCCCTCCCTTCCCTTCCCTTCCCTTCCCTTCCCTTCCCTTCCCTTCCCTTCCCTTCCCTTCCCTTCCCTTCCTTCCCTTCCCTTCCTTCCCTTCCCTTCCCTTCCTTCCCTTCCCTTCCCTTCCCTTCCCTTCCTTCCCTTCCCTTCCCTTCCCTTCCCTTCCCTTCCTTCCCTTCCCTTCCCTTCCCTTCCCTTCCCTTCCCTTCCCTTCCCTTCCCTTCCCTTCCCTTCCCTTCCCTTCCCTTCCCTTCCCTTCCCTTCCCTTCCCTCTCTCCCTCTCCTTCTTACTCACTTTTCTTTTCCTTCCTTTTGATTTTTCATCTTTTTCTCTTAAATATTTATTTTCTTCCCTTTGGATTTCTTGCTCCCCGCACTCATCACTCAATTACTTAACAATTAATTAACCACTCGCTCTCCACACACCCCTGTTCTGTCGAGCTCTTCCCACCCCATCTGTTTCTAAACCAGCCCTTGGCTAATAAATTCGATTTTCGGAGTTCGGCCTGGGGAAGGATTAGCCCACACCTTCTTTATTAAAGGATGAGTGCAGGTACTAATTGATTAATCAATTAATGCTCACAGATGTCAGACTTTAGCCACAACCGAAGATCCCCTCGCAGTCTGGTGGGGACAACTTTTATCCCTGGGGGTTATTAATTAGGCTGGACTCACTCGGATTATTGTAACTCCTTTTCCTTCCCGACTGCAGACTCAAGTTGTAATATTTTATTTTTTTTTTTCAGCCAGAGGCAAGGAAAAAAATTCCTTTTGCTTGTGATTTTTTGCCCTGGGAATTAGAGGGAAGTGGAGGCTCCAGAAAAGGGGTGAGATTTAACTGGGTGTCCCCAGCATGGGCTGCAGGGAGGGATTTGTCAGGGTAAACACAGATGGGTACAAACTGCCTGGCTGGAGATAAGAATTACTTGTGCTATAAAACTTCCACTAATCACTTGTGACATAAAAAATTACCTGTATAAGAATATGAATACAGTATGATCAATATTTATATATTTATACCTTTTGAGATGGAAAAAATAACCCCAGACCCCTTTATTCGTGTATAAGCCAATTCTATAGCCTACTTAAAATGTTATTTTTACTGTGGGAAAGACAAAATTGCGAAGGAATTTTTTTGGAGGACTAGAATTTTTTACTGCTTTCAGAATACATGGATGTTTGGTACGTTTATTCCCGAATTTCCTGGAGGGAAGCTGGTGTGAAATTCCATCACCTCGTGGCTGGGAGGGGTTCAGGGAAAACAAAAAAAAACCCCACCTGTCATTTTTGCTATCTTTAAATATTTTAAACCTGCTCATTGTCCAAAAGAATCTTTGATTTTCCTTTTATTTTGGTTAAGCAGCACTATTATAATGAAGCAACAGAATAATGAAGCCAAGGTGAAAACCAGACATTATATATATATTATTTTTAGTTTAATTCAATCAAATCGTGGTTTGGGATTGAATTTGGGATTTGAGAAGCAGCAAAGCCCTGGTGACTGCCCTGGAACCTCGAATTGGCTCTTTTTGGACAACTCCAGGCCTTTGATTCTGCTCGGGAAGTCCCTGTTGGGCTCCTGCGCTGAATTCCCTCCCCACCATCGCTTCCAGAGGTTTTCCAGGCATTCCTGAATTCTCCTCCTGCCTTAGGGGAGGGAGCCCCTGTTCCAAATCCCAAATCCCAAATCCCTAATCCCAAATCCCAAATCCCAAATCCCAAATCCCACCTTGCTCGGGGGGATCGCTCAGGTGTTTAAAGCTGAGAGCTTTGCCAGGCTCATGGAGGAGCTGTGATTTCCTTATTGCCATCATCATCACCATCATCATCATCATCATCATTATCATCAATCATCATCATCATCATCATCATCATCATCATCATCATCATCATCATCATCAATCATCATTAATTATCATCATCATCTCCTCCTCCTCCTCCTCCTCATCATCATGGAGGAGCTGTGATTTCATTATTGTCATCATCATCATCATCATAATCATTAAACATCATCATCATCAATCATCATCATTATCATCATCTCCTCCTCCTCCTCCTCCACCTCATCATGGAGGAGCTGTGATTTCATTATTGTCATCATCATCAATCATCATCATCATCATCATCATCATCATCATCATCATCTCCTCCTCCTCCTCCTCCTCCTCCT